GTCCAACGTCAACCGCTCCTGGAACCGCTTCAACACTCTGGAGACGGTTGAATGGTGAATGTTCAACATTTTTCCCAACTGCCGGTGCGACAGGTCAGGAAATTCCAGGTGTTTGGATAGAATTTGTTCTCTCAACTCGCGTTGGTTCACCTCCATTTTCGTTGAATCGAAAAACACGACTTCGAGTTTGACAGCATGTACACAATACACATCAATGAGAAAGTGTGCAAAATTTGGTTGATTTTTACCCAATGGTAAAAAAGTTATGCCCTGTTGAATGTGTCGCAATAATTTCGTGTTCGCCCTTTAGACAGCTAATTGCCTGGACACATCTTTTCCCAGTCCGGTATAATATGGTTTATAAAACCAACTACCATTCCAGGATTTGCAGACTAAATATCACTAGGTTGTAAACTAATACTTCCAAGAAATTTGGATCTACGCTTGTGTAATGCACCACAACTGCAGAACAGATGTTCCGAGGTTTCACGTTCCAAATTACAGAAACGACAGATATTACTCTGAACCCTACCAATGTTCTTCATGAGACAGTGCCCAGTTACTAGGCCAGTGTATCTACTAAGAGCCCTTTTATTGAGCTCTGAGAGCTTTTTGGTGTATGTTATATTAGGAGTTATAAATCTTTTCGACTGGTTGCAGTTTGTGACAGTCATCTAATTGGCCATCATCCTTTGCTCTTCCCAGCATTTGAGTACAGTATGATATTCCACAGTATGGTTCGCTTGAAACACTTTTGGAAAATGGCCCACCGCAACTGAAATATTTGTCCCGGGGCCAAAGATTCCTGCATCTGTTTGAATTCCAATTTTTGAGCCATCTGTGAAAAATATGATTGAGCCTTGACGAATGTTAGGACCACCAGTTTCCCAATCCAAACGTGCTGTTTCACAAACGTTGAAGGGAATTTCATAGTTGTCCTCTGGTTTCATCCAGTCTCCATTCATACTCATCAATGGTCCTCTTTGGAAGTATTGTAAGATGCTTAGATGACGAACAAGATCACGTGGCATTACTTTTTTACATCTTTTGAGCCTTAGAGCCCTTATTTCCGCTTCTAGTTGCACATGTTCATGCAGGGGCAGCAGATTTTGGATTTCTTCTAATGCTTTTGATGGGGTGCTACGCACCGCACCCGTTATTGCAATGCATGCTAGACGTTGAAGTTTTGCTAGCTTCCTCTGTGCAGTAGCCTCTTTTGATTTTGGCCACCACACTAACGAAGCATGAGAGTTCAGATTACTCAAATTCGCGAAATCCGACGCTTTTCCGAAGAAAACTTCTCGAATATGAGAAAAACTGATTGAGGTTTTAATCAGTCTTCTAGTACACTTCTAACCTGTGTACAATTTTTTTAATTTTTCCCTGTATTCGAGAAGTTTTCCCCGGGAAAGTGTCGGAAAATTTACTCAAAATATGAGTGACCTACGTTTTAGCGATTTTCAGTAATCTGAAATCAAATATGGGTAGCATTTTTTGTCAACGTGCAATTGGTTTGGAAAGAAATTTTTTCTAAATCAGTTGAAATAAACTCACGCCGACCCACGCCGCCACGCCGCCGCCGCCGGCAGAAAATAACATATCACTCCGCCGCCGAAAATATTTTGATCGGCGCACAGGTCTACTCGTAGTCTGCGAAGGGTCCGCAAGTTGCCTTCTACTTAGTCGATCCACCTTGCCCGCTGCGCGCCTCTTCTTCTTGTTCCTATTGGGTCGCTTTCTAGAACCATTTTCACTGGGTCGTCGTGCGGCATGCTTACGACGTGCGCAGCCCACCGTAGTCGCCCATTTTTTGCAATGTGGACGATGGATGATTCTCCCAGCAGCTGGTGCAATTCGTGGTTCATTCGCCTCCTCCACGTTCCGTCATCCATCTGCACTCCACTGTAGATGGTACGCAACACCTTCCGTTTGAAAACACCAAGGGCGCGTTGGTCCTCCCACGAGCATAGTCCAGGTCTCGTGGCCGTAGAGGACCACCGGTCTAATCAGCGTCTTGTAGACAGTCACCGTCAATCTGAACTCGGAGTGGGAGACTAACATTGTCTTCCCTAGAACCTCTTCCTTTCATGTATTTTGTCTTTGATGCGTTGATGGCAAGTCCAATCCTGCTAGCTTCAGCCTTTAGTCTGAAGTACGTTTCCGCCATCGTCTCAAAGTTCCGTTCCATGATGTCAATGTCATCGGCGAAGCCAAGAAGCTGGATGGACTTCCTGAAGATCGTGCCACTCGTGTCTATCCCAGCTCTTCTGATCACACCTTCTAATGCGATGTTGAATAGCAGACACGAAAGTCCATCACCTTGCCGTAACCCCCTTCGAGATTCAAAGGGACTCGAGAGTGTCACCGATACTCGAACAACGCACATCACTCGATCCATCGTCGCCTTGACCAATCGCGTCAGTTTATCCGGAAATCCGTACTCGTGCATAATCTGCCATAGCTGATCTCGATTGATTGAGAAAAAAACCTGCCGAATCGCGCCACGAATCCCACCCGGTAATGCCCCACGAACTCTCTTGCATATGGTGACAGACGGCGGCATAGAATTTGGGAGAGTACTTTGTAGGCGGCACTCAGCAGTGTGATCGCGCGGTCGTTGCAGCAATCCAACTTGTCGCCCTTTTTGTAGATTGGCCATACGACACCTTCCATCCACTCCTCCGGTAATATCTCCTCCTCCCAAATCTTGGCAATTACCCGATGCACGACCGTATTTTAATAGCTCACTTGGTAGTTGATCAACACCAGTTGCTTTGTTGTTCTTCAGCCGACCGATCTCCTCCTCAACTTCTGGAAGATCAGGGGCCGGTAGCCTGTCGACTTCTGCGCGTGGTCCAAGGTCTGTTGCCGAGCCACCTTCGTTTTCTGCTGCTTCATCGTTGCTCGTCACCGTGCTCGTCATAGTACTGCTTCCACTTCTCAATCACCTCACACTCGTTCGGGAGAAGGTTACCATCCAAGTCCTTGCACATATCGGCTTGCGGAACATAGCCTTTGCGCGAACTATTTAGCTTCTCGTAGAACTTCCGTGTGTCGTTTACGCGTTACAGGTTTTCAATCGCTTCGCGATCTCGGTCTTCCTTTTCGGGACGCTTATTTTTTCGGAAAACCGATTTTTGCCTGTTCCGCGCTTGTCTGTATCGCTCCACATTCAATCTCGTGCGGTGTTGCAGCTTATCGCCCGTGCTGCATTCTTCTCCTCTACTAACAGTTTGCATTCGCCGTCAAACCAGTCATTTCTTCGGTCCGGGATTGCAGTACCTAGCGCCGCTGCATCAGTACTACCTATGGCTGAACGGATGTCCCTCCAGCCATCTTCAAGAGAAGCTGCGCCAAGCTGCTCTTCCGTGGGTAGTGCAACTTCCAGCTGCTGCGCGTAGTCCTGGGCAACTCCGGCGTCCCGTAATTGCTCAATATTGACGAGAAGCTGCAAAGTTCACGCATCGTTCGCCGTTATCGTTCGATACGGCATGCAGGCTGTTTGGCCCGATTGCCGGTCTATACATTGCCCCCGTCCTACCTGTGCGTTCATGTCACCGATGACTATTTTGACGTCCCGTTGCGAACAGCCGTCGTACACCTGCTCCAGCAGCGCATAGAACGCTTCTTTCTCGTCGTCGGGTCTCCCTTCCTGTGGGCAGTGCACGTTGATGATACTGTAGTTGAAGGAACGGCCCTTAATCCTCAATTTGAACATCCTCGCGTTAATCGGATGCCAACCAACCACACGTTGGCGCATCTTACCCAGCACTACAAAGCCGGTTCCACAGCTCTGGTAGAAAGTTGCCGCTCGATGCCCGCTTTTCCATACCTTTTGTCCCGTCCAGCAAAGTTCCTGCAGTGCTACGACTTCGAAGTTGCGTGGTTGAAGTTCGTCATAGATTAACCTATCGCAGCCCGGGAAGCCGAGCGATTTGCAGTCCATGTTCCGAGTTTCCAATCATAGTCCTTATTTCGTCGCGTAGGTCTGTGCCGATTGTTCCGATCCGTATTTCTTTCTTCAGTATTTGCAACTTTATGTTTTTTCCAGGGCGGCTTGTTGGGCCTGCCCCAACCCCCTGTCTCGCCGGGGGACCATCGTGCACAGCTCTGTTTAGAGTCTCACGCTCCTAACATGGAGAACAGACGCCGTTTTGAGCCGCACCTCCATGGTGAACAGACGCTCGGGTTTGGTGAAGCATTTCCTCTATCACCGTACTATCATAGAGGTAACTCTAAGACTAGTAGGTCCCGAAGAAACGTGTTCAACTTTTTGGCTCAACTCTGGTACTATCTTCGGTCCCAAGCTTATCGATTCACCAACTTTCATAGCGAATCAAAACAAACATTGTGTAGTACTAGAATTTTGACTAGAATAGGGTACGTTTATCGATTTGCTTGGGACCAATAGGCTAGTCAAATAGTGAACCAATTTAAAATCGTTAGTTTCGTATTGATTGTTGGTACTATGATTACCGCGCCAGTGTTCGCGTCGCAACTCTTCACTTTGATATTGCCGGACTGGCAACATTGCTCAGGCTACGCCACCCAGCTAGTCTTTTGTTATCATATGACTCGGGTAGGCGTGAAGTAGGAACCAGGGCTTGGTATTCCGCTCCTTCCAGGTTGTCAACTCACCATTTTGTAGCCCGATGAGTGCCGCGTCCAAATGATGGACCAGCGTTAGAGAAAAAACTTTCTTAATTAATTCAAAACTGCCTCGCCGTTGAACGATCTCTCCGGAAAAGTTCAAAACCGATGGATTTACCTGCATTTTCTTCTAAAACAGATTCTTGTTGTTTTGGGAACATACAAAAATGTGCATTTGTTTTCTTTATCAGCCATTATTTCGTCTCATAACCTTGAAAAGCACACACACCAACCGTAAAATCAGTTCACTGTAACATTAGAGTGGGGGGGGGGCATTTAGGTCTTCCTTATCTGCTAACGATGTATCGCAAAATTTCCATCTTTGCCATCTTTCTTACGTTCCATTTCAGATTGCATGAAATCAAAAAATTGTAAAAAGTGCCGGAACCAGACGCCATAAATCAATTTATAAAACCTCGCGCAGCCACGGACCAATCAATCAGCCTGTTATTATACTATTTCTGTTGCACTGTTCTTTGTTGTTGTTTTTTAATATCGTTACAATTTAGCTTAATCGACGGAATAAAGTTGTGATGAAACCGAAACAATCGTAAATCACGTTACGCACTGCCCGGTATCACTAGCAAACAGCAAACATAATAGAAACACAAGGAAGCACTGTGGAAGCCGGTAACAACAACAACAACAACAAAACATCGAAAATCCGAGGGGTCATACAATAAGATGATAATCGGCTTTTACTTTCGATACGTGTGAGACCGTTACCGAACAAAAATCACATCAATTTGTGGATTCGTTTCGAAGTCGGACTTCGCTAATTGATTGGTGATAACCGCGAGGCGTCTGCGACTAGCACTAGGAAGGAAGCATTTCCTTTATGAACAATCGTGGCCATATTGAATGTTTAATCGTTAGGTGAATCGTACTTTAAGGCTCGGAAAAGTTGTAGATAATTGTACATACATATTTAAGAAAACTACAAAATCACACACAAGATGTCGCTAACCGATAAAGAGTACTACAATCTGGTGAGTAATGCACGTGTGAGCGGTGTTTGGGTACTAACAAACGCGATTTCACTAAAAATCATCGCGAACAACATCGACAAACATCGAATTCTAACGCTACTGCCTTTGTTTTGCTATCCTTCTCCGCAGACCATGAGTATCTCCAAGGCGCTGAGCGTCCAGGAGATGCCAATCAAGGTCAAACACGTCCGAGCGGCCATTATCGGGACGTTCCACAGCAAGGGAGGGCACGCCTTTTGGGCCATCGCCATCCGGCAACCGATCCAGGACAATCGGATCGTGGCGTGGAAGTTTTGCCACCTATTACACAAGATTCTCCGCGAAGGGCACCCACTGTGCTGTCAGCACTCGATGCGACACCGGGGAATGCTATCGGAGGCGGGCAAGCTGTGGGGACACCTGAACGATGGCTACGGCGTCTGCATCAAACACTACACCAAGCTGCTGGTCACAAAGCTGGAGTTTCACGATCGGAACCCGAGGATACCGGGCAGCTTGGCGCTGAAGCCCGGCGAGCTGGAGCAGATCGGAGCCGGGGATATTAATTTCTAGTGAGTATAGGACGGTTGATTGCTTGACTTAATGGGGGTTTTGAAGGTTCTAAGGCTGTATTCCATTTGGTGTTTATTTTTTTCGATATTTGCAAGGATTTTACGGATTTTCATAGCTTTATAGCCCCATACTGTCCATTAGACTGATGCAAATTTTGACATTTTCGCTCCACAGTGCTCAAACGGTTCCAAATCGGGTCCTGATTAGTCTCCCAAAATTTGAACTCATTCGATAAGAAACTGACTTGGCACAAACCATTTGAAGTTTATATGGAAATTACTATAGGAAAACCAAATGTTTTGTTCATATCCATCTAACAATTTACCATATCGCTCTGCTTTAAAAAATGATAACTGAGCTACAACTTTGTCCTGAACCACTTTTCAATATAATGTAAGCATCAAAAGTTATCAATAATTAAAGCCACTTATGTCTTACGATTATGCTCAATCAACTGTTCAGCAGGCAACATTGGTGTTTCTGGCGCTTGGAATAGAGGACAAAAATCATGGCTACTATATCACACTGCAAGATACAGTGTTGCTCACAAAACAGCTGCTCGATCATGCCATAAGATTATCCATCTCTTAAACAATTAATAACTATTTTATTTGACGTTTGGCTCAACAACTATATTCTGCTAAGTTGAAGCTGAGAAAATTTTCCATAAGTATAGCTTTTGAATTTTCGAACAGTGCAATATGGAAAAAGATAAAAAGACAATGAACAAAAAGTTTTGATTTCCCATGGTAATTTCCATATAAACTTCAAATGGTTTGTGCCAAGTCAGTTTCTTTGCAAATGAGTTCAATTTTTGGGAGACTAATCAAGACCCGATTTGGAACCGTATGAGCACTGTGGAGCGAAAATGTCAAAATTTGCATCAGTCTACTGTCCATCATACCAACCATTCATTTTGACAAAAAAAATGTTTTAGGAAATTATGGAATAATAAGATATTATGATGGTATTTTGTATGTGTAAGGAACAAGAAAAGATTTTAAGTTTGTGTTTGACACATAAAACCTGCACATTTAGCTTTGACAGATCCACAATGAGCGATTATCTGATCACCTCTTCGCGAAGAGTGAAGAGCGAAGAGTGGGTGAGATAAATGACAAAATCGCTTATTGCGACCAGAGTTGCAACCTATCACAATCACAATCGTCAAACAGATGATGGTAGTAACGCTTTGTACATTCCTATCAATATGCTCGTCAAAGCTAGCGTCGAAGCTCTCTCCATGACCATCCATCAAGTTGACGAAAAAAGTAAAAAGCAACTGGTGAATGTCATCTTCGGTTGTGATCCATCACCGATCTGGTCATTCTCGACAATCATGACAAACATCTGTGCTCGTTTTGAAGCAGTTCCTGCATTGCTTGATTATGTGAGTGTGTTGGTGAGTGAGCCCAACAGCTTCCGTTTAATATTGCCTGCTTTGTTTGTAACTCACACAGTCGCGCCTGCCGAGACGAACTTGAAATGCGTAGGCATTGTTTTCATTTTCTTCTGTCGTTCCGCTTTTTCTCATCATCGTACTGCAGAAGTCTTCACTGTTTTCGTTGTGCTTTACATAATCAGCAGCGAGTGTTATGTTTTGCCTATGAGCAGCGACCCTTAAGGGCCACGCACATTAGATCCGTTTGCGTTGCGTTGACGTAAATTTGACAGTTAGACAATAGATTTAGCTGTCACTTTGCCGCAACGCGTCCGATCCGGATCTAATGTGCGTGAGCCTTTACTGGTGATTGTTGTTTGCCATTGCTCTACCTCTCAATGCGTGACAAAACGTTCTGTCAGCGATAGTCGGTTTATGCGTAGACGAGTGTCACGTGAGTGTCATGATATTTTGCATCACTGATTGCGACTCTCATGCAGCAACATTGGCTGGTATTATGTGTGAAGCACAAACTCCACAATCTTTTCAAGTTGCTTACACAAACAAAATATTATTATAATATCTTATTATTCCATAATTTCATGAAACATTTTTTTTTTGTCAAAATGAAGCCGGCGCCGGTAGTGTAGTGGTGAGCGTGACTGATTTCTCATCCCAATGGGTCTGGATTCAATCCCAGCCGAGGTCGGTGGGATTTTTCTGAGGGATAAAAATCTCTGATCACGTGCGATATCCTACGCAGGTGTGAAAGCTGCCTTCCTGCACATTCGATTGCCGTCAATGGATGGCAATCGATGTCCGTCGGTGATTGGCACCATGGTGGGTGTATAAATGGTGATACAGCTTTGCCACTATATAGGCGAGGAGGTCTCGGGGGGAAAAGTGTGGTTTTAGAGCAAATTGTAAGCAAAAAAGGTCTCTGTCCCATACAAAAATCCAACATGGCTGAGTCATGAATTTGACACATTAGAACACCTATATGTAGTCACCTTGATTGGCACTAGATTGCGGAACAGAGAACGCAATAAATAAAGGAAAGATGAAGAAGAAGCATGACTTGAATGAAACGAAATTTAATATGGATTATAAAATTTATGTATGTTATCAAAATTTATGAATGGTCTGCCACTAAATCTTGAGATAATCTATTGATTATTTAATTATCACATTGTATATACCATGAAAAAGCAGCCTGTTTGTGATTTTTTGCTGTTTTCAAGTGAAGAGTTATCATAAAATATCAAGTCGCCAGCTGATATTTCCCGGCGACTTTACAAAAGAATACAATCAAGCACAATCATCATGCAAAAATAGCTAGAATTTGTTTTACTTCTTATTTCGCAAATTTGCTTTCGAGTGTTATGACGTCGTCACCATCGTCTCCCGCAAAATTTACATTTTCCGCGCTACCAACACATACGTCAAGGCTAGATCTCCACACCTTGTATAGACCAGGTTGCAGATTAACAGGGTTCAGATTAAAATGTGTTCAGATTAAAAACGGTCATATTACCGGGGGTCGAAGGTACCGGCAAAAAATAGCTGTGTAAGCCAAAAATTCAGTGCCAACATTTCAAAGGGGCGAAATTGCTTTTGTAATCAATGACTTTAGCCGTCAATTTCTCGCGAATGAAATCTTACCTCTCCAAAATAACAATGCTAGCTGGTAGAGAAAACATTCCTCTATCTGGTAGTGTCATTATTTTTCATAAGTGAGCTTTTATTCGCGAGAAATTGACGGCTAAAGCCATTGTTTACAAATGCAATTACGCCCCTTTGAAATGTTGGCACTGAATTGTTCATTGGGATGTGTCTTTTCTTGAGTAAGTTTTTGAATTAAACAAATACTGAAGCGATTCAGCTAAATAGCTCTCCGTAGGAGCCTCTTCTGACAAGCTTCGAAGAAGTTAATACCGTACCGAAATTAGGACATAATTGTGCGTCAGCAACTTTTAGAGGCCTTCAAGACACCCTAAAGAACTATTACATTTCTCTGGCATAATAAATTATTTCATTCTACCTTTCTAAAGCTTCCAAATGGCGGTTGAAATCTTCGACCACCTTGACGACATCATTGCCCTCCAAGCCACTAGTAAGTACCTCCCCCACACTGCAGCAGCAGCAGCAGTCAGCAGTCCAGCTCCACACCTTCTAACCAACCAACCTAACCATTCCAGTCTTCAACTCCATCACCACGTTCTGCGTCAGCTCGATGACGTCCGCCGGCCAGTGCCGTCTCGCTCCTCTCATCCCCTGCATCCAAGACTCCAACCCCCTGTACGACTTTGTCGTGCGCATCATGTTCAAGCTGCACGCCAACCTTCCCTCGGACTTGCTCACCGGTCACCGGGAGCGCTTCCGGACGCTCTTCCATCAGCTCAAATCCTTCTACAACCAATCCCGCAACCTGCAGTACTTTGTCAACTTGATCACCGTACCGAAACTCCCCGATGCGCCACCAAACTTCGAACAGCAGAGCGATCTCGGCAACTACCAGGCCCCGGTCGTCGTCATGCCGGATTCCGACCCCATGGACCAGGACACCGAATCCATCGCTTCGGAAAGCCTCATCGACACTGCGGAAGCAGCTCCCCCGATACCGGAACTGCCCCAGAACCACCACCATCACAACAACGTCCATCAGGCGGCGACACCCACACCGAACCACCAGGTCCTGGAACTGGAACGCCTGCTCACGGACCGGGACGACCTGATACGGCACCTGCAGATGGAGATCGAACGGCTTACCAACTACGCCAAGTCGCTCACGATCGAACAGCGGGACGTGCAGCACCGGCTCGAAGATCAGATCGCTCAGCTGAACTCGCACCTGACGGAAACCCGCGGCATGGTGGCCAATTTGCGAATTCAGAAGGAGGAACTGGAGCTACGGGCCCAGTCGGCACCCACCTTGGAGCGTGAGTTTCAAATCCGGCGCCCATATTGATTGCGGCTATTAGGGGAACTAGGGGCAAGAAGGTCACCCGGGGCAAGAGTGCCACCCTCAATATATTTTGAAAATGAAAACATTCACGCACCATGAATCTATGCATGGTATTCCTATGAAGCATTCTAAAAAGTTCTGTCCGAATCGAAGTTGTGAAAAAAATGCAACAAATCATTTTGTGTTGATGTTTTGACAAGCAAGTTTTTTTTTATAAGAATCATAATTTCCAATTTATTTATTTTTTTCACAATTTCTGCATTTGGACGTCACTATTGGTGGTTGATTGAAACATTAATAACACAAAAATAATAAATATTTTCTTTAATTCTTCAAAAATTATATTCCTAAAAATACACTTTATACGGGCCAAGAGTGCCACCCCTACATTTATGCAATTGTACGAAAATGTTCAGAAATTAGCACAATTGGGCATTTATGGTTATGGCATTTTTCAAAACAAACTGTATAAAATAGTTTCTATTTGAATTCTTTGACGCACATGGTTTAAAGGTTTTGGGTAAAAAAAAATATCGTTAAGTCAATATTTTAGTGGAATAAACAATAAAAGCGGTTGCTGGCATACCTAAGAATAGTAATTTGTTGTTTATAAATGAACATTTATCTGTTTCATTTCATTTTAGACATATGGCATTTTCGCCCCATAAGAGTGACCATCTTGCCCCATAGCATTTTTTAGAGCTGTTACGACATGACATTTTCATAAAAATCATTAACATTTTTTGAAGAGGTTTAATTTTAATTTCAATGTTGATACATGGAGACAAGGTTATAAACTTACAATTCGGTTCACAAACTCATATTCATATATTCACGGAATCGCTCCCATATCTTCCTTTCCACTTTGTTCCAACAGAGAAAGCCCATGCCGAGGAAGAACGGGCCAAAGCGAGTGAAGAAAAGTTCCAGAAGCTGAAGACCATGTACAGCCAGATTCGAGACGAGCACGTCAAGCTGCTTCGACAGGTTAGTCTCAGCGTGGGGTGCGGGGGGATGTAAAGGATTTATCAGAAATAATTATATCGATCGAAACTGAAAGTGTCTAATGGGCGTGAGGAATCATTTGATTTAATCATCTGTTTTGGTTATTGCCTCTCACCCTCATTTCACTTTTTATGTGTTTTGTTTTTACCTGATTTTTTTTCTGCATGCAACCCGACGATTAAATGCTGTTATTTTTTTCTAATTTCAAATTTTCCTCTCATGTTTTCGGCTCCACGCACCGTGTGGAAAATCGATCTGGATCTGAACCGAAAACAAAAACAATCACTTTTACTTTTCCCGCGTGCTTTTGACTCGTTGTGTTTTTATGGTTGGGTGATCTCCTTGAACGTCCGTCGTGACGATCTATGATGGACCGTTTGGTTCAACGACGTAACCGGACACCCTTCGTCTACGTTCCTAACGTGCTGATCGTGATCGTGATGGTGATTGTGGATGGAACGATTTCGAAATCATCCAACTGGAAAACACGGCTCGTAGACCAAGTTTTATGAATACAAGATCAACTGCTTCAGACAGGTGATGGAGGTGGAGAATTGTAGATCGCTAGTGGAAGTGCCGTTGAACTAAATGATGCTAGATTTAGGTGCAGATGTTTTTTTAGTAGTTCCTCGTTCGGTAGACGCGCAAAAAAAAGCCTCGCAATGCTGCCGACCAACCGGCATTTTTTTACTAGTTCATTTATTTACTAAGCTCAGTCGTGTTTGACACTTTACGGAGCCAAAAATCAGTAGTGTTTGAATTTACATTTTAAACAGCAGTAGTTCTAGGTTAGTATTGGGTACCAATTACTCGTGGCGGGCTCAAGGTTAATGGATAACAATTTCGATTGGAAGGATCTAGGTAGGAAATGACTGAATCATCAGCGAACAAAGATTTGTGGCAGCCCTGAGGCAAATCAGGGAAGTCCGAAGTGAAAATATTATACAATATAGGCCCAAGAATGCTACCCTGAGGAACTCCTGCTCTAACAGGTAGTCGTTCAGATTTGGATTTTTTGATAATTTACCTGCAGAGTTCTGTCAGTTAAATAATTCTGAACTAATTTCATAATGTAAAGTGGAAAATTAAACTTTTTCAATTTAGCAATCAAATCTTCATGCCAAACACTGTCGAATGCTTTTTCTATGTCTAGAAGAGCAACTCCAGTTGAGCAGCCGTCAGATTTGTTTTAACGAATTAAAATGGTAACTCTTAAGAGTTGATGAGTAGTTGAATGCCCATGGCGAAATCCCAGCTGCTCATCTGCAAAAATTGAGTTCGTATTGATGTGAAGCATCATTCTATTCAAAATTATCTTTTCAAACAGTTTACTTATTGAAGAAAGCAAACTTATTGGACGGTAGCTAGAAGCTTCAGCTGGATTTTTATCCGGCTTCAAAATTGGAACAACTTTTGCATTTTTCCATTTATCAGGAAAGTATGCCAAATGGAAACATCTGTTAAATAATTTTACCAAGAAAGACAAAATTCCAATTCAAAGCTATCAATTTATGAAACTTTTTTTGTTATAGTACTTTTTCCAAATCAGTCCCCCAGGAATCATGAAAAATATTTCCTGAGAGAAAATATTCAGATAATCCCAAGCAACCTTATTCTCAATAGGACTAATAAGACCCAATCTGAAATTATGGGAACTCTCGAATTGCTTAGCAAGGTTCTGAGCTTTTTCCAAATTTGTGATCAAAATTTTACCACCTTCTTTAAGCGCTGGAATAGGCTTTGAGGTGTTTTCAAAATTTTTGTGAGTTTCCAAAAGGGTTTGGAACTCGGGTCTAATTTCAGGGCTGGTAGTGATCACTGCTGTCAAAAATAGTGATTTTAGTGACCATTTTAAAGAAATAAGTGACCAAATAGTGACTTATAGTTGTTAAAATGGTGACTAAAAAGTGATCTAAGAGAAGAAAAGTAGTCGTTATCATGGCACACAAAAGCCATAATACCTCAAGAAGTTTTAAGAATCTGGAGTCAAATTCCATGCACAGTTTTAAAGGCTCGTGTAATTTTATTATTATTTCTAACAACCTCACTCCAAGGGAGTTCTGGAAAAAAATCTTTCAAAAAAGCTCAAATTCTATCTGCTTTCAAGGTAATTCTAAGGATTCATGTGAAGCCTGATAGTTTTGAGTAGAATTTCAAGAAACCCTTAATTGAATTAAAAGTAAATTTTTATGAAAACTCCAAGGGTATTCTGAGGATAATTTCATAAAGTTTGTGGTAGAAAACGAATCCAGAGCATAAGTCCTTGGAATTTGTATTAAAATAATAAAAGGAAGATTACAATTAAATCTAAGAATAACTCCAGGACATCTTCAAAGGAATTTGGAAAATAAATTCAGGTGAGTTTGCCAAACAAATTATGAGAATAAATCGAAGGAATTTGTGAGGAGAAATGCCAATGAATTCTTAGGAGACTTTCGAGGTGAGTAGAATGCCAAGGAAAGGAGTGAGATTCAAAAGGAAATCGGAAATTAATTCAATGAATATTCGGAGAATCTTTCCAAAGGGTTCAAATTGTGGTGAATTTCAAGGTAATTCCGAGGAAAACTAAAAAAAATATCGGAGGATAGCTTCATCGAAATTTTGAGGAATTGAAATCTCCGTTGGATATGGAATGGACTATTCTGAGAGCTTCAGAACTACTTGAATGTTCTCAATTTTTTCCTGAATTTAATGAAACTGCCTTAAAGTTCTTTTGTAGCCTGATGCCCACAATACTTCTCATCAAATTCAAACTTCCCTGAACTTTATAGGACTTCCTAAAGTTTCCTCAATTTTTCTAACGATCATGGATCTCCTGTAAAGGTTTAACAATTCGCTGAAGTTCTTTAAAGTTTATGTGACTTCTCTCATGTTAACGGAACTGCTCTGAGGTTCTTGAACTGGTCAGTATTTTTTAAAAACCCACAACTTTACTGAAATTAATAGATTTGCCTTGAAATTCAACAATTTTCCTTAAGTATTATAACCATTATTAACACTCGCTAATTTTCCCTGAACTTATCTATGCTTACCTGAAATTCTCTAAATTTGATTAATAATCCGGCAAATTTTCTAATATATATTCTTAATTCCCTGACGCTTCTGACGTTTTCGGATCAATCATAGAATTTTTGGTATACCCCATAATTCCATGGAACTCCTTGTAAGTCGTATTCTGAAGCTATCTGATCGTCCTCGAAGTACTCGGAACTTCGCTGAATATCATGAAACTATCTAAAAATATCTAAATTGATTAGGAGTTCTCTGGAATTTCTTGAAGATATCGCTGCTTGCTAAAGGTTCACACATTTTTCTTAAGTTAATGGAACTTTGTTAATGTTCTCTTATCAATTTAACTAAATTTTCGATTTTTTTAGTTCTTGAAATCTCCATGTGTGTTATACTTAAAATACCTTCCAGAAATTCTCCCGGAGTTTCCCATATTTTGAGCGTGTTAAATTCTCTTACGTTCCTACAGTTTGTTTATAGAGCTTCACTGAAATTATCAGCATTTTCAGCATTTCATTCCTCAGAACTTCTCCAAAGTTCCTACAATTGTTGTAAAGTTGATGGGACTGCATTGAAGATCTCTAATCTTTCATAAAGTTTATTACGAGCTTGAAATAAATCATTTATTTTGTTTACTTAATTCTGGCACTTTGAATAATTTCAATATCTTGAACTTGTACATGGAATACGAAACTTCAAGACATTGAATATTTTTTAGATCTTGGAAAACTCAGGTAATTTTATCCAGAAAAATTCACAACTAAAAAAAGTTGTAAATAGTGACTTATTACAAGAAAAAGTGACTTTAGTGACTTGGCCTTAAAAAAGAGACTTTTTAGTGACTGACTTGAAAAAAGTGACCAAGTCACTAAAAAGTGACTCGCTACCAGCCCTGTAATTTAGAAACATTATTTTCAAAAGTTTTGTTCCTCAGGGCAGAGAGTCGCTTTTTAATTTGTTTTTTGCAAATCCCGCCAGATAACTTTCATGGCAGGATTGCGAGTTCTTTGATACTGTCTCCTACGGACATTTTTAAGACGGATTAAGAGCTTAAGATCGTCGTCTATTATAATTGAATCGAATTTAACCTCGCATTTTGGTACTGAGGCAGCTCTTGCTTCAACTATAGAGATTCAAGAGCATAATTAATTTCATCTTTGGTTTGCAAAGGAATGTTTGGATCGAAGTTACATTCCATAAATGTTCGATATTACTCCCGATCAGCTCTATGGTAATTGAATGTAGAGCTTTTTTTTTTTTTTGTTTATTAATTTATTTGATAAGGCTCAACCGAATTAACTTTACAGAGCCGAGGATTCTTGGTCACTTTACAATACATCTTAAAACTATAGTCAAAAGGTACAACACAATAAACACATTATCTTCCGCTATCCAAAAAGCCTCCTCCATCAGAACTGGAGCCGCTTCCAGTAGTTTCATTGTATGGCAAATTGTTGTACGCCAACGAGGGTCAGAGCGCGTCCATTGCAGCAATGGACGCAAAACGTGGTCAGCACTCACACACTCATCACGAAACGGTTGCTTTCCAAAGTCGACGACGCATCGACCGAAAGAACTGCTGATGAAGAACAATGAGGAGGACCACACAATGGTTGCTGCCGAGAAAACAGACGATCGCGTAGCACACATCGAGAGTGGCCTGCTTTTGTCGACAGCCGAGTGAACACTGAATGAATGTAGAGCTGTTGGGATTAGAAATTATTTCTTGGAATATTTCAAAAGTTACTGGAAGGTGATCAGAACCGAAGTCAGCATGGGCTAAAAAGTTGACATGAATCAGTTAAGACCAAATCAATAGTTGAAGGATTTCTTGCTGAAGAAAAGCATTTAGGGCTGTTTGGATATTGAATAGTGTAATAACCTGCAGAACAATCATCAAACAGAATATTACCATTGGAATTGCTTCGAGCATTATTGAGCAGTGTTTTGCATTACAATCACCAATAATGAAGAATTTAGACCTATGACGGGTAAGTTTCTGAAGGTCACCCTTGAGAAAATTCTTTTGTTGGCCTACGCATTGGAATGGAAAATAGGCAGCCATAAACGTAAGTTGTCCAAATTTTGTTTCAACAGAAACTCCCAAAGTTTCAAAAACTTTGGTTTCAAATGAAGAAAGAATTCTATGTTTGATTCGTCTATGAACAATGATGGCAACGCCACCACAGGGTCAATCAAGACGATCATTTCTATAAATGAAATAGTTTACGTCCTTCTTAACCTTATGGTCAGGTTTATGGAACGTTTCAGTTATAACGGCAATATGCACGTTATGAACTCTCAACAAGTTAAATAGCTCGTGTTCATTATCTTTAAGAGATCGAGCATTCCAATTTAAAATATTTAATGATTTAAAATACATTTCTGAATTTCAAAGTCATATTATTAGCAAATTTTACTCCAGTTTGAATAGCATCAAACATGGAGTTAGATTTAAGCATATCAGAAATCATGTCAATTAATGATTTCTGTAAAAATTCCATTTTAGGGGCAGTAATGCTTCCTAA